ACTGTCTCTGTGAGAATTGTCAACATATGTACCTCAGTAAAGGAAATGAATGGTGGGTCTTTAAGATACTCATTTAATATGTTTATACAAGGGACATTATAGTTATAGAGAAAAATGTACAAATGAGTGGGAGAACTCAAGTAAAATTTTTAAAAAGCCATATTATCAAGCAACAGTTTAGAATGAAATGATACCAACACCTTCACAACAGAATTGATGCATGTAAAAGTTAATTGCTGATCATATAAAACAGTAGTACAGAAGGAATAATATATTGCAAAACAATATTTACACAGGTCACCACCACTTTATAAGTCAAAAGTCCAAGTTCTATTTGCATGTTGGGCTAAAGCATAAGGGAAAAAACCTTATGACAGTTTTTTAATACCATTCCATGTGGAGGGGGTCACAAACAGCATAGTAACTCTGGTTTAACCTTTTGTCATATGCTTTTATGAAAACAGATGCCTAATATGAGATCTGAAGTAATAAACTTTTCAGAACAAGATTTTTTTCACTTTTCCTTGGAACTTTGATCATTCTGCATGTGTATTTTATACTGTACTTTTGGAGGTTCTACAACTTGTCAGCAGTCTGATATCTCACATGCTGTTGTGGGTTGGCTTAAGTGTCCTTGAAAAAAGTTGTCTCTGAAGTTGAAATATTACAAGGCTTTAATGATTTCTGGAATATTTTTATTTTACATTAGTTGAAGTAAGTAGGTGTTATTTGGAATGCCAGGAGACACCATGTAGGCAGTTCCTGCTGTACGAGTTTCCTGAGATTTGACATTTTTCCCAAAACCAAATATAACAAAAAAGAAGCAGTATCCTTCTCTTTCTCTCATAATTCATTGTTTTCATCCTTCAGTAAAATAGGAAGTAGCTCTAATCAAACTATTTATTTAATACAATATTGGTTGCAGAGGGAACTTTGCTAGCAGCTGACACCCCACGCCACCCTCCTTTTCCCTGACTAGTTGAAGGTGTCAGGGATCAAACTTTGCATATAAAATGTATGCTAAATCAGTCAACTATGGCTCCTTTATGTTCATCATGATTGATTGTTGCATAATTCTGTCAACAAAATGTACTTGTAACAAAAATGGATCTTAACATAGTAGAATTGCAGTGTGAGTTTATCAGTTACTATTAAAAAAGGGCTGTGAAATCTGACTTTTTCTGTAGCTCCACTTCCCTACAAGTAAGAAATATGATTGATATCTTATTACAGGTGGGCCTCGCTTAACAACCACTTGTTCAGTGACTGTTCAAACTTGTGATGGCACTGAACAAGTCGTATTTATGACTGCTCCTTGGAGTTCCAGCAGTCGCAGCATCCCCATGGTCACACGATTGCAATTTGTGACCTTTCTAGCTGACTTCCCACAAGCAAAGTCATTGGGAGGCTGGCAGAAAGTCAGACGTCTCAGTCACGTGAGATCCTTGCTTAACAACCTGCATGGTCCTCAGTTAATGACGGCAACCGGGACTGTTGGATTTGCCATCACTAAGTGGTGTGGTCATGTGACATCACACTTTAAGATTGCGTCCCTTAGCAATGGTAATTCTGGTCCCAATTGCTTTCATTTACCAAGGATGACTATACTGGTAAGCCACACTCCTCAGCATTTTGTAAGCCACACTCCTCAGCA